GAACTTTTGAGTTTAGGGCGATGAAATTTGATTGTTTTACATTGTAGAGGAATCCAGATCGAAAGCCATGTGTTTCAGGGGGATAGAGGTAGCCTTTATATGCAGGGTGAATTAGGACGAGGGGCCAGGTGGCTTTTAAGCACAGTAGCTCCCAGAGGTACCTGTTTGAAAACACCTTTCAAGTCTTATAAAAGAAAACAAAGTTTTGTCTTTGTCCATGTTTCCTGAAGGGGTTTTTGGAGCACAGATTGGAATCTAGTGGGGAACCACTGCTTTTGTTTCCAGTGTACTATCAGGCCATTTGTAGTAGCTCTAGTGAAGTAAGGACCTGAGCAGGTTAGAGTAGGCATGGCGAAGAATGGAAAATCATGTAGCATTTTTCACACCGATAGGATTCAGTGAGATCATTGGAGGAAATAAAGCCGGTTCTAGTAAAGTTACCGCGAGATGATGGTGGAAGGCGTAGCCAGTACGTCGAGGCAGCAGTGTGGCCCCGTCGGCAGCCATCCAGCAGCTTGTTGGACTAGATGACGAGTGAGCAGTGCAGAGAGAGAAAAGAGTTCAGACAGGCTTGGTGGTGCACACCTGTAATCTCAGCTACTTGGGAGGCGGAAGCAGGACTATTGCAAATTCCAGACCAGTCTGGGCAGTTAGACTCTGTCTCATAATGTGAAAGGGGTGAGGTGAGGCTGGAGCTCAGCACCTCTGGGTCAGTTCCCTGAATTCTCGACTTCGAATGATCAGAGGGTGGGACAGGAGGCAGCATCTGAGATTAGGGCTCAGGGATAATAGGTATCCTGAAATACCATAACACAGTAGCAAAGAATTTCTCCTCACCAAAAGTAGCAAGGAAAATAAGTAAAACTCGTTTTTATTACTCTTAGTGATGAGTTTGTTGGAGGAAATCTAAGCTGTTAGGGACAGTGTGTGTTTTGGGTTATTTCTGGGCCTTTTTATTCTGTATTTCTAAAACGCAAGGATAATTAAAAGCAGTGGTTTTAAAAATTACATATAATTATACACATATAAAAGTACATATGACCAACTAAGTATATGTATGCATGCAGAATTAATGTAAATTAATTATATGTAGCATTTTATATATAAAATCATATGTGTGTACCTGTCACACTTTATAAAGGTCATCTTATTTAGAAAAGTCAGTGCTAGAGGAGAGAGCAGAGCAGTTTTCCCATGTGTAGAAACTGTGAGAAAGGCTGTGGGCTGCTAGTTGAGCATGTTCTTCCTAAATGTTTTTGTCTGACAGACACTGCTCGTTTAGGGAATTCGGCATGCATCACGTGAGCCCAGGTGGCCAAGCCAGGGAGGGAGATATAACAGTAGCACCAAGCCCCTGTCGGCCTTGCTTCGCAGAATGCCATGTCATCCACCACCCCTTTTAAATTCCTCTTATGATCTGAAAACTATTTCAGTGTTAGAAAGTTTGAGCACATTATATGTAGGTGGTAAAATACTATCTGTAAACAAGCACATTGATAGAAGAGATTTTAAAAAATCTTGATGGCTCTTTGTATTTTGTTCATATTATGTTGCTCTAAATCCCTGTTAACAGATGAGTAGAAGCAGGCCGCAAGGTTGAAAACTCATGATAGTAAGCCGGGCGTGGTGGCGCTAGCCTGTAATCCCAGCACTCGGGAGGCTGAGGCAGGAGGATCGCTGTGAGTTCGAGACCAGCCTGGACTACATAGTGAGTTCCGGGCCAGTCTCAACTACATAGTGAGACCCTGTCTCAAAAAAAAAGAAAACTCATGATAGTGAATCATTGGAGACAAGCCACTTGACTCCCCATGGGTGTTTGCTCAAAGTACATTTACATCTGTGCAGTGGAGTGCTACACACTTACTAAAATGGTGATGCAAGTATGAGCATAAAATAGTCACAAGGCAAAATTGAAGTTTTAAGTTTTTTTAATCTTTATTTGTTTCGAGGTTATAAATTTTCAATGGTGTAAAAACTCATTGCTTAGGAATTCTAGTTTCTGACCAACATAATTACACATAACTGGGTTGGAATGGTGGTATGATTTTTTTTTAAGGTGCACATACAGTTTTTTGGGTTTTTTTCGTACCGGGGATTGAACTTGGGTCCTAGCGCTTGCAAGGCAGGCCACCGAACTGCTGAGCTAAATCCCCAGCCCCACATGCAGTTTTGATTCAAATGGACTATACTGACTGAAGACTTTAGGTCGGTCCACATAGAATAAGAACCTCTATCAAATTAAGAACTGTAGAAATGGAAAGATAAGGAAAAGATCTTTCTGAGGTGAAATTCACAAGGATAAGGAAAAAGAGAGTCCTAGATGACTCATATTTTAGTTTGAGATATTGGGCTGATGGTGGCAAACATTAGCCAAGATGGAGAATACAGGAAAGGAAATAGAATTTTGTCATTTCTTTAGGTTGTGCGTGTGTGTGTGTGTGTGTGTGTGTGAGAGAGAGAGAGAGAGAGAGAGAGTGGGAGAAATAGTGGGGATGTGGTACATGGGGACTGAGCAGTGGCCATGCAGTCAGCTTGCTCGGATTTGAATCTTACTCTGTCCACCATTAGTCAGGTGTGGCTGGTGGCCTTAGTTGCTTCACCTGTAAAAATGAGAATGATAGTGGTACCTATTTTATGTAATTATGGAGATTGAGTGAATTAGAGTAAAATACAAAGTGCCCATTACAGAGATAAAATACCTCATACATAGGGAAAAATAACTGGGACGAGCAAGCTCAGCTTCCGGAGATCGGAAATGTGGGCCTCAAACTGTGGAGAGAGCTGGGCAGAGACGAGCCTGTGTGGCCCTGTGTGATGGCAGGGACTCCCTGGGGCATACACCTACTTTCTGCAGTGCCCTCCCTAGCAGTGGAGGTGTGATACTGAGAAAAGTCTGTGGTTTGGGTTGTCTGAGGAACTCAGAATACAAGACAATAGACAAGGTGATAGAGTTGAAGGTCTGTGTAAACCTGTGCGAATCATTATAAGTCTTTCCACCTTCACTGAAGGAAGGCAAAGTAAGCAAAATAGTTTACATAATCTAGATTAGTGGCAGAATATCTGTTATTTGTATTATACTTCAGTAACTTACTAAAAAAATTCTATTTGATTTTTGTGGTATTTTAAAATTACTAACATGATCTATTTCTGATGAAACTATTCAAGTTGGCAAATTGTAGTACCATAGGAAAAGAACTTGACATCAGACAATCCATCCATCATAGCAAGAGATTGGATTAATACTTTCTTTCCTATGGACCATGTCAGGCACAGACTGACCATTTTTGGGGGTAGGTACCAGTGGTTCTGGTGCCTGCTTCACAAGCACAAGAATCCAAGTTTGATCCCCGGTAACCCCCCCCAAATATATCTTTATCTATATGTGCATTTCTATATCTATATCTATATCTATATAAAATTGTGGCTTTGGAGCAGAAATAATTGACTCTCGATGATTGTTATTTTTATAAATAAACTTACTCTGATGAATACTTCTAATGTTCGTTCACCCACGTACGCATGTACCCGTCACAAGTGGGTGCCAGTTGACAAGGATATTCCTTGGTGGCATAGCAGCGTCTGAATGGAATAGTTCTTTGGACTGAATCTGGATTAGAGGTAGTGATTTCAGACACAGGTGATTCCTGATTTCAAAATAATTGGGCGCATTTAATCCTCCGTCCCTGAATTTCTCATCCAGTTGCAGCTATTTAGATTATAAAGTTGGAGAATTTAAAGAAGTCAGAGTTCAAACGTAGGAGAAATAAGTGAAAACAAATATCTGGGGCAGTAAATGTACTCATTTATATTATGGCCCACTCCCTCCCCATTCAAGCCGTCTGAGTCATTTTTCTTCTTCTTTCCCTGCACTGTTGGAATTCTTTCACCAGGAAGTTCATTTGGGTGAATTAGCATACCGGTTGGGAATTTCAAATACCTGTATTGATGTGAATTATTTCAGGCAACTGTTTCCTGTAACTTACCTGAAATGAACCATTCCGGGGCAATAAGAGCTTTGGGTGGTAATTTAGGAGAGTTGTACACATTAGAGGGAAGGATTATTGAGTAGGTTGGTTGGGATGCCATAATATAAAGTGTAAAGAATTACAGACATTGATAAAGTAAACAAAGGAAACATTTAAAACTTGCGGGCGTTGGGTAAGTTTCTGCCTTTCTTTTGCGGAGTCCACAGAGCCTGTGGAGAGTAGCGTCTTTGGGGTCAGTAGAGTTCTTTTGGCTAGTTTGGGAATTTCACCAAAACAAACATTGTTTCATTTGGAATACTAACTATATTTTACAGTATCAATTTAAGAAATAAATTTCCACTCACCCGGGAAGTTAGATTTTTTTTTTTTAAGCGCTACTTCTCTTTGGGTCTTGTTAGGTGTGTGGAGGGGGTAGTTGCTGTCACTTTGTACCAATCACGGAATTTGCTGGTCAGTCATGCAGTACCAGTTGAAGCAGTAGGAACCAGGGGACACTGTAAGAGCTACAATAAAATAGAGAAAATAGTTGGAGAGCAAAGGGCTTATGGGTTAGGGAAGCGGTTGTGGGAAGTGACTCTACTTTAATGTGAAATAATGTTAATAGATTTGAAATGTTTTTCTTGTGAAGTAAATTACTCTCTTTGCTTAGTGACTATGAAAAGTGAATTCACATTCAGTGATTTGTGTCAATGAAAATTACAAAATGTAGACCCCTGTAAATTGTATAGTGGGATATTCTGATTTATTTGATAACTAAAAGTGCCACATTCTCATTGGTGGTAGGCACAGTTTAAAACTGTTTTCTCTGACAATTCATTTCATATGTATTTGATTTTGAGCAATGAAGCCTAAGGAAAATTATTCAAGTAAGCTTAAATGTTAGTAACCTAATTTTACAAATTTAAAGTAATTTTATCTGTGTGTTTGGGGATTGTAGTTACTTTAGATGTTCCTCAGTTAGAGGTAATTGTGTTCATCATCATCTCTTATCGTAATCTGTTTTTCTTCACACAGTGTTGTAGTTTTGCTGCTGGACTCTTCCCTCCCTCCCCCACCCCATCAGGATGATATGAGACTTGAAGGAAGACGATGCATACAGGTGACTCACGTTTTGAAATACAGTAAACTGTGGCTGTCTGGAGAATGTGGGGGCTGCCGACACATTGTGAGTGGGGAGATTTCTGAGGAGCAGTTCTTGGGGAAACTTTGTAGATCAATAAATAGCCGGGAGATTTATGGAACTTGATTTTCAGACTCGGTATGATAATCTTTTTGTAGTAGTGTTAATACAAATACAGCATAATAACTGTTAGTACTTAAACTTTTTAAAAGTTGGCTAATACTTTGGTGGTAATTGAAATATTTCGGTTAGTAAAATGAGTATATATTATTAACTTTCACGCTTGAATCTCTCCCCTAGGTCCCTATTAAATGTAGCAGATCCTCTGTGGGACCAGATGCCTGTAGTATATTTTAGCTAATGCCCTGACAGTTACGGATATAACACTCATACCATATGTATTATCCCTTAAAAGATTGGTCTGTGATTTGGTTTTTCCTTTATTCCCTCTTTCCTTACATGTTTCTTACCGTTCCTTTCATCTGTTTGTCATTTGCATTTATACAGAGAAGCAATATAAAGGAATTTTTGAAAGAATGTTTTTGATTGTTTTATGACTAATTGAGATGGTCTTAATTTGTATATGGGAAATGGAGGCTACTCCAAATGTGGCTATATTCAAACTCTTGAAAATGCAATTATAACTAATGTATAGAGTGTCACTAACTTTTGAACATATAAATCTTGACGAGATATTTAATCATTATAAAGCTGTTTTGATTTTTTTGAATTTTTGAAAGAATGTTTTTGATTGTTTTATGACTAATTGAGATGGTCTTAATTTGTATATGGGAAATGGAGGCTACTCCAAATGTGGCTATATTCAAACTCTTGAAAATGCAATTATAACTAATGTATAGAGTGTCACTAACTTTTGAACATATAAATCTTGACGAGATATTTAATCATTATAAAGCTGTTTTGTGATTTTTTTTTTTTTTTTACTGATAAGCACTTTCTGAAAGAAAAAGAATGATCACTTTTTTTACTATACAGTGGTATTTTAAAATGCAATACTTTCGGTATTCCATTTTGTATGAAGAAATTGCTTGCAGATCCTATCTCTAGATTAGATTGTAGACTAAACAATACCTTTAGTAAGGCTAGTGATAATTGCTGTAAGTCAAAGTGATTGCAGATTCATCTCTGCAGCGTGTCTCACACACACACAGCCACAGAATTGCAGGTGTATCTTTATTACAGATATGTCGAGTACACATTCCTGGCTTAGTGGTGATTTTTAAAATTTTAAAAACATTTTTTTAGAAGGAAAGGGCTTTATTTGGTTTAGTTTGTACAGGTTTCAGTCCATATTCAGCTGACTTCAAGGCAGGGATGACAGGCAGAACAGAAACGACATGGCTTGCACAGGGCAGCAAGGGTAACAAGAGTTTTACCAGCATCTTTCTGCCCCTTTTACACAGAATACTACCAGGATTAGGGCAGTGCCAAACTAATCACTCACATGCAGTGGTTTAGTAACCACAGGCCCTTAACCCCAGCATCACACATTCCAGATTAAACTATCTCTGAAAAAGGAAGTCCCACTGCTTCGGCATGAGGCTTTGCGGGACATCTGAACACAAACCATAACATTCCGCCCCTGACCCCCCAAAGACTCATACGTATCTCCTTATCAGGAAAGCATTTATTCCATCTCTAAGCATTGCCGAAGTCCTAATAGTTCGGCATTGCCGAAAAGTTCAAGTCCAATGTCTCCTCTGAGATTTAAGGCAAACTCTTAGCTGTAAGCTCCTGCACAAATGAAAGTCAAATATTTCCATCGTTAGTGGCACTACCATTCCAAAAGGTACAAACAGGAGGATACAGAGGGATGGGACCACAGTAAGTCGAAAATCTAATAGGGTAAACATAAATCCCACACTTCCATTTCCAACCTCCCCAGCAATCGGTGGCGAGTTGTGAACTCCAAAGGGTAGCTCCACCCCATGGCGATTTTGGTGGCTGTAGCTCCCACGGCATCTCTCTTGGGCCGGCTCTGCTCCCTCCTTGCAGTTTTCCTTAGAGCAGGCACGCTCCTAGCTTCTCCAGACTTTCGGGGTCTCCAATGCACCCTTGGCTCAACACTCACGGCTTCACACGTTGCCCTCTCAGGAGTACCCTGCCTCGCCTCCTGATCCTTCTGAAATCTGGGTGGAAGCTTCCCTGACGCCACTACTCTTGCATTCTACCTGCTTCTAAAACCAGCGTCACGGAAGATGATGCCAAAGTCTGCTGCCAGCTGGAGCAGTAGTAACCAGTCTTCCCTCTCTCTTGGCCGTAGGGGTCCAATACCTATGAACCAAATCCTGAGGAAAACCTTCGCTAAGCCACTGTTTTGGAACAAGTTCCCTAGGCTGCCACCATTCTGAAACATGGCGTGGCTGCCACCGCACTGGAACATTGTGCTCTGGGGCTTTCGTCTCAAAGCAAAATCTTTCACTTTTACAACTCTGAGGCTGCAAAGAGTTGGGGTCCTGCTGCTTCCTGTGATACCCTCAAACCATCTTTTCTATTCTCCTGTTCCATCTGAGTAATTGAGATCTGCTCTGCTTTATCTTTGCAGTCCTCAGTTTTATTGGAGGTTCCTTACTGGTCCAACTCAGAATGTTTTAAATCATTCTGCTGAGCTCTTTGCTCTTGAGTCTCAACATAGATTTGGCTAAAAGCTCCCGACAGTAACCATACCGTGGCCTCAATATTCGACTGCCTTGAAATCTCTTTTGCAAGTGGTATTAGTCCACCCCCTGTAATCTCAGTCACAGGCAAAGTCTCCGGACATGAACAAAATGCAGACAATCCCAAAGGAAAGAGCTTTATTTGGCTTACAGTCTGTACAGGTTTCAGTCCATAATTAGCCGACTCCAAGGCAGAAACAGGCAGAGCAGAAGCGACATGGCGCACACAGGCAGCAGAGGCGACGAGATGCTTAATGGTGATTATTAAAATAAACATGGTGCCAATATCACTCCTACGAAAGTAAATCGAAGTTTGTATAGAAAAGCCTTTAAAAGAAATTTTGAGCATTTGTAATCGCCGGGTTTTAACGCTTGACCCTTTGGCGCTTCCTCAGCGTTCCTCAGCGTGTCGGCTTCCGGACTGCTCCTTGGGCCTGGTGTGCTATCGGCTGTACCAAGTGGGTGCACACTTTGAGTGGAAGCCAGGAGAGGGACCAGCTTCATATTCTGTGTCTGTGAATATTACTGATTCTGGAATTTTTCTCACATGAGATTTTTGAGGTGGCAGTGTTGCTTTTTATATTTATATATGAGAGACCCCCAAATAGCTACTTTTCTTGAAAGACTTGTGACTATAATGGAATTTAAAAAATGAAGATTAAATACAATTTGTAAAAGTTATCAGCACTCTTATTGTCTTACAAAGGAAGAAACCCAAGACAGAAGATCTGTTTTTCTCTAATGCATTTATTGGCTGTTAGTGTATTCTCCTTTGTAACAGGTTGAAAGTTATTTGTTTTTGAATATAAAATTAACAGCTTTTATAATCATTATGAATTAATATCACACTTTGGCGTTCTATTACCTTGTACACATTTTTTATACTTCAGCGGATAGAATTTTAACACATAAAAGCTCATAAGGATTTTCACCGAAAGTAGTTTCTGGAATGTTGGCACATATTTTCATGTGAGTACTTTGCTTTCCCAGGCTTTGCTTTTCTAGCTGCCGTACCTGATGGTACTGGCTTTGTCATGTTGGTTAGATGTGATGGTAAATTATTTTTCAGGTGGAAAAGTAGGTTCAAGGATGCTGGAAAGGACACTGAAGTAGGCATTGGCTCAGGACCTTCCACGGTCAAAGCTTCATGGATTTTTCTGTTAACCGTGGGAGGTGGTATGTTAACTAAATTAATGAATCATTTCACATTATATATGTGTATTAACTACATTGTATGCCTCAAATATGTAAAAGTTTCATTTCCCAATTATTCTTCAGTAAAACTGGGGAAAGACTTGCTGAACCCCAAAGGAAAGACCTATTTTGATGTATCTACTGTATGTATGTATAGTTTATCTTGTTAAACTTGAAGGTTTTTTTTCTTTGTATATTTTAAAATGTAGTTAGAACATGAACGAAGTAAATTTGGGATTTCTTTGATTCTTTTTAAAGAAAAATGACTTGGAAGCAAACATTTATTTGGTTAGCATTTCCTTTTATTCCAAGTGCAGTACTGTAATAGGTGCTGTGCCTACAAAGATCCCTGCTTTTCGGGATCAAGAAACAGTTCATCTGGAGGAACAAGTGGATATGTAAACAAATGATTCAGTGGTTGTTTTTGATGAATCGTGAAGATGTACCTGTTGAGCTTGTGGCATCTGGAGTAAAAACAGAAAACTTTCTGAATAATAGGATGCTCAGGAATGATTTCAGCTGGAATATATATGTAAGCCTATTCTTAAGACTCTGTCTCCTTTTTCTCTCTTGAGCACCAAACTTAACTGCCCCCCACAGACTCCCCCACGTAGACATTTGTCTTCTAACTTAATCCCCTCAATCACGAGTGACACAGCACCATCCTAGCCGTGGACACCATCTTCCTGGGAACCTAGGAGTAGCTGGATTCAGATTATTTAGGGTGGGGTCACTCTTGAGATTAGAAAGCACAGCGGCTCATGTATGAAGGAACTACTTCCACTGTTTCCTTCTGTTTTTGTTCCGTGCATTTAACATCCCATGGAACACTAATTTGGAAAATCTTTGGATGTAGTATTTGATATTGTTCCTTGTTTTGGTGAAATGGGTGATTTAGCTGTAGTGACATATTAGTCACTTTAAAACTTGAAGTAGTATAGAGCAGTGGTGGTGAACCTGTGGCATGTGTGTTGTTTTTAAGGTGAAAGATGTTAATGTATGAATTATTTTTTCTAAACAAAAACCTCAGCATTCAAGTTTAATTGCAGCGTTGTTGGTACTTTGTGATCGATAAGTGAGTTTCAGGGTACAGTTTAGGCATTCAGC